AAAAATATTCAGTTTGAATTATTCACTGCTATCCAAGCTAACGCATGTTTATAGGGTTTGTTTAACGCATTTCACTTTTCACTAAGTTCTCAACCCTTCGCCGAGTGTTCTACGCCACGAATCACGTGGTATCGGACGATGGCTAACAACATGGGAGTCGTCTTCTCAACGGACCAAACTATCTTGAAGCTTAATTTTAGAAGCTGATCGTTAGAGCTCCAAATTCAAAACCGATCTACATTGAGTCGAATTTATCCCAGCCCGGCCAACTCCCTCCTGCTCCTCTACGTAACGAGCGGACAGTGAAAAACCATCAATAATCTTCGGGATGGCACGAGCAAAATAGCACAGGCACTATATTCTCTTCACAATTATGACTGAAATTTAATTCAATCCCACATCAGGCCTACAGGATTGATGGTAGATCTCTCCACATTTTCGCCTTCAGGTCAAAATTTTAGATTTGGCCAAATGTTGTTGAAAGGACGGTTTTCGACGCCGCGAACAACGAATATCGCATCCGCTTGGCACAATTGCCTACACGTGCGCTACGTCGTGCTTAAGGGGTCACTTGCACAGTGCTGAAGCTCTCGCCAGCTCGTGTACTGTGCTATAGCAATCGCTGATAATTAGCATGCACAAGAGTCTCTTAAACAACGTTCATAAGAAAAGCCAAAGTGGAAACTCGCCAAAAACTCAACTCACTGACCTTCTCGTTCGTTGAGCCGCTGCACCGCTGCCTCACTATCCTCGCTTCATAAGTACTGTCAATGAGTCGTTCGCAGATTGGAGCGCAGATTGAGATAAGCGTCCAAAAACACATCTAGTGGCGTATGTCTCGTTACAAATGGCTACTTCGACCTGGTATCCTTCCCTTGTTAGTCTTTTTTCCTTACAACATAGCGGCCACACTCACAGGATGTTCTACGAGTTTGTTATCTGATCCAGGAACAGCTGCAGCAAACTCTGGCCAGGGGACGGATCCCCAGAACTCTGCGTCTCTAGTCCGGTCGGTGACCCAGTCATCGTGATCGAGAATAGGGGAATGCGTTCAGAGATGCTGAGTTTTGGGGACCCATCCCCTCGCCGGGGCTTGCTATACCTGGCCCCCCATATTGAAATAATGGCCACTCTCAAAAGCGCCTACAGAAAACATGCTGATGGACAGGAAACACAATCTGAGAAAACCTTTACAACATTCAAAAGAACAGGAGAGGCATAACGAACTCAAGAACTAATGTCATCCCGTAGCGCCCTTAGCAGGGTAAGTGATTGGCGTTGTTACAAAGAACAGATTAGGAAGTTGCGTGGACTTCAAAAACAGTCTGCCTGCAGTGTCAAGAATGGGGCTACGATAGTGACGGTGCTCAAAAAGGTTCCCAAAAATACGCATGAAACAAGGCTACCCACTTATTGAACTCATAAAGACGTGAGCCAATTCCTGATAACTCTCAGCCATGTCTTCCCCCTAGATCAGTTGTTGAGAAAGCTACTGAAAATGTTACTTCTAGTATTGGTCATGACAAATTTTGTGAGGAACTAGAAGGACAACGTTCAATTGTAATAAGCGGTATACCTGAGTGCAAATCAACTAGTGTTAGGGAGCGAAAATCTTATGACTACTATCACGTTTGTAACATCATCGATTTTCTCGGCATAGAATGTAATGCTGTGACGCTTTACAGACTGGGTAAACCATCACAAGGAAAGAATCGACTTATCAAAATTATGTTCTCACGTGTCTTTCAACGTATAGCTTTAAGAAGAGCCGCACGGCTCCGCTTCTATTCTTTGAAAGGGATTTTCCTTAGAGAATCTCTCACAAAAAAGCAAAGAGAGCGGAGATGCGAGCAGCGTAAAGGTCTCACTAAGAACGAGCTTCGCACTTCATCGGTTACTAATGCCTATACATCGGAGAATGTAGAGGCTCACCCTCAAATAATGAATGATAGTTCTTGTATTGTTCAGGAAAACTTACTATGTTTCCGCGGTCCACAATGAGTAGTTTTATTTTTTATGCAAACGTCAGGTCAATCTCAAAAAACTCGGTATATATTGAAACGGTTTTAGCCCACTAATACGATATATACGCTTTTGTAGAGACATGGCTCAAGCCTAGCCATAATTTATCCTCCCTTCTATGCAGCTCAAATGAGGCCTATAATAATTTAAGATGTGACCGTCTTAAAAAATTAGGAGGTGGAGTAGTATTAATGGTTCACTCTAGACTTTCAGTCTCATTGGTATTCAGGGAATCCGTTAAGGATGGTTATGAAATACTATGTGCCGATATTTTTCATGAGGAACGAGTCTTCGAACATCTAACATTTATGAGAGATGATGACAAGCTTCCGGAATTCTCCTCAACATTAACACAGAGTATGCATGATCTACCATGGTTTCAAGCAGACTGGCTCTATAAACAGATTATGAAATGGCCTAAATCCTCCTCGACAAATCCTGATTTCATCCCGCTCTTCTTTATTCAAAAAGTTGCTTGGTTTATATGTGAACCTTTAGCTTATATTTTCAACCAGTCTTTGATGCGAGGAGAAGTTCCACGACGATGGAAGCACTCACGTTACCCCAATCTTGAAAAAGGAACCCTCCTCGAATCCAAGCAATTATCGTCCTGCAAGCATTACATCTCTTTTTTGTATTGTTTAAGAAAAAGCTCAAAGCCCATACTCAAGTATGTTTCTGATTGTCGCATCATTCCATGTCCCAACATGGTTTTGTTCCTGGACGTTCTATCGAGACTAATATGATTGAATGCCTGGATGATTGGTCTGAAGCGATTGACAACAATCGCTCTTGTGACGTCATATTTTGACTCTGCGAAGGCCTTCGGTAGGGTATCCTATAAGAAATTAATACACAAATTAGAAGCACTCAGATTAAATCCTGTTCTTGTTAAATGGATATCTGAATTTCTTACTGGTAGGACTTTCCAGGTTAGAATTGGACAATTTTATTCTAATAGCAGGAAAGTCATTAGTGGAGTGCTACAAGGTGGTGTTCTTTCTCCGGTTCTGTTTGATATTTTCCCTGCTGAGATACCTACATTACTCATGGATGTAAACGTCACGTCTAGGATTTATGCGGATGATGTAAAAGTATATAAGGTAATATCAGAACAGAATGATTGCGAGTCGCTTCAAAAAGCTATTGACTTGTTGAATAACTGGGCTAAATTATGGCAGTTGCCCTTATCGTTACAAAAGACAATGCGTATGAGGATATCTTCTAATTCGAAAGCATCCCCTTCTCCATATTTGATCGATGGTTATCCTATCTCCTCATTCCACTCTGTCAGAGATCTTGGTTTCTACTATGCTAATACCCTGAACTTCTCAAAGCATATCAAAACTCGTTGTAAATTAGCTATGATGCGTACTTTTCATATATTCAAAGAATTATCTTCCACAAATGAATTTGTTCTTCTTCAAACCTACAAGACTTATGTACGTCCTATTGTTGAATCTGGTGCTACCGTGTTCTATCCCTTTAGGAAAAAAAGATGTCATTGCATTAGAAAAAGTGCAAAACAACTTCACACGCAAAATGTTTCTGCGTTCTAGGGCATTTTTCTATCCCATGATTCCTAAAGCTTCGATTAGGAATAAATATCTTGGTCTTTCAACTTTCGAGTCTCGGCGCATAGTATTTGATGTCTGTATGTTTTGCAAGCTTCTGTACCAATCCATCGAATTTGGTCCCTTCAATTTCCATGCTACCGCACACTCTCGTACAAGGGGTGGTCGAACTAAAATACTTATAGCTAGGCCCAGGACCTCTCTTAGAGCCAAATGTTTTACATTCACAGCTGCTAGCTCATACATAAAGATAACAAAAAATATTGCTCTTCCTAATTCATTGAAAAATTCAAAAGTAACATTTCCGATAAGCTCCTGAGTCACAGAACATCCTAGTTATTTGAGATTTACCTGCAATCCCATCTCGACAATTATCGTGTTACGTCATTCTCGTCACTGCTCCTTAAATTTGTTGATAGTGTCAGACTTCTTTCTAACGATTGCCTTACCATTAGGCAACGTAATAACATACATACATAACAAGCAAAATGAGAAAAGAACCATGCTTTGTTCAGAAAAAAAGCTCTCGCGCCGAATCCAATGGATCGGCCGGTTGGTCCCACAACGAAAACCAACAAAATATCCCACATATGAGATTTCTGCATCACCGAGTATGCACGCACGCAATGCGGCGAATGACACATGTGTGACATGAGCCAAAATCGGCGCGGGCGTCAATGTCTTAACACGTACCACCTCGAGATACTCGTGGATTCGACCACTTGGTAGAACCTCAAACTTGGGTAATTAAACTTTATTTCAACTTCTGAAGCGAAAAAACGCCATAAATATTCACGCTGGCAATACTCACGATAAAAACAAGATCATAACTCATCAATTTATACGTTAGGGAATATGCAATACAATAAGAGCGAGATGCAAGAGAATTCCTGAGATCTTACTCTGATTATCGAAAGACAACAACGAGATTCGTAGACAACAAGGCAGTTCAAAACAAACTCAAGGAGGAGTAATCGAGCGCACGCAATGGAAGCTACAAGATCATTCTCTTGTCCACAGAAAAGCTGATTACTGAGTTTTATCTTTAAAGCCTCAATACCAATGCAAATTACCATACAGACGTCAAGATTTACACAAGAAATACATTGAATGAAAAGGCGCTAATAACTGGAGATAAGAGCACACTACAAACGAAGGCTTAAGGAGATCGATCGGATATCGTATGCAGCTCTACGTGTTGAGGGCGTCGCCCTTAGGAGGAGAAGCGGAGGTGAGGAAGAGGTCGCGGTCTTCGGCCGCTGCTGCAGACGTCTCCTCGTGTCGGCGGCGTCTAGTCTCCGCCCTGAAAGTGATGAGTCAGATAAAGAACTAACTGGGCACCAGAGAACCGCTATGCTTACAGAAGATAGGGGAGGGGGCTTAGGGCTGACGGTATGAAGAACGGTGGCTACTGTAAGGCTGTCCTTATATGGCTGTGTTTTGGCGCAGTGTTGCCATCAATTTCCCTGTCAAGGAATAGATCCGATCTATGTGCATTATATGATCTTCCCGGGGGTGCTTCAGCACAGTGCGGCCCCTTGAAGAATTCTCATTGACGTATAATCTCGGTGCAGCGTAGCTTCTCCTCTGGAAGTTCACAAACGGCGCTGTTGTGTAATTCTGCTCCTCAATAATCGAGTAGAATTGATGTTGTGCACGGCTTTTCACAGAGACCTAAACAGATCTCGCATAAAGCAGCCTGCGCAACTACTTTTCTGCGTTCTTCGATGGTTTTGTACTTAGGACATTTATCAGAATCGTGCTCCCCAATGGTGCAGCAAAACCTCATCTTGACGCAGTGTATTGGTCTCTAACGAGTAATGGGCGTTTTCTTGCACAAGTTCTTTCCTTGACAAGCTCCAATTCTGACAGTCTGCGATTTTGGCAGGTTCGATATCCATTTCGTCTTCGTATTCCTCAAATTTGATTTCTTCCAAATCAGAGTTTGACCTGTGAACAGCTTTCTGGATTTGTACCATTGCGTTTATTTGAGCATCGAGCAATAGTTCCGTATTCATCTTTTGTTGGTCGATCATCTGTGTGAGTTTCACGTCGATGCTCACGAACGATTCTTTCCGTCATGACGGTTAAACTGTTCAGTTTGCTCTCGATCTCGACATTGTCGAGGCTCCCCACCGGGAATTCCATGTGTGTGCACATGTGGCCGAGTTGTTCGAGAACAGCGTTTTCCTTCGGAAATTCTATGAAACAGTCGACTTGAAGCTTTGATATCTCTGCGAGAACGTCGTTGATGTGTTGTATTTCTTTCTGGAGTATGCTGCTACTGACTGTGCGAGAGTTCTCCCTCTTCTCATTCCGTTGCATAGTTTCAAATGCGTATCTGCTAGACTTCTTCGCTGCTCTGATTTCCACTGTGAGACGATAGAGCTACCAGAGGATGTTTTCCAATTGACAATCTGCGATCATCTTTTGCTTACTTACACCAAATATGTCTATAATGGTCTGGCAGAGCGTTTCCTCTTCTTTCTCACAATCAGAGTTGGTGTTATACGTGGTCTACAAAATTTTGGATGTGGTAAACGTTAGAGATGTTGAGACAATCATCATAGACTAGATCGAGACGACGTTGTAGTTCTTTTTCTTCGAGAAGGGCGTGGGCGTTATCGGTAAATGACTTCAACAGATCTGCAGCGGCTTGCTGGCTCGTGGCACCCATCCTAGAATAGGTCTGTATGATTTGCGAACTAACTGTGTTTACTTCGTACTCGTTCACATTGTATGGGTAATTCTAACAGTCTCGTTTTGCTCACAATTCATCTGCTGGTCGTGCCATGGTGGGTCGGGTCTCGCTGTAGTATCTGCCAGTGGATCTGACGAGGTATTTTGGGTAGCCCGTGATGTCCTTTCTGTGTTCTGACCGTCATGCAGCTCCAAAGGGACAAGGGCTGTTGTTGGCCTAGTGACTGTGTCTATTGGGTAGCGGAAGCTCTTGTTTTCGTATGTGTTCATCTTCTGACGGAGTAGTTTGAGGATCTTAGCGAGTTTCCAGCTGTTGCGGGGTAGGACAGGGCCTTGAAAAGTACTACTTGTCCTGTCTGAGGGGTAGTGTTTGTCGTGCGTCCTTGTTTGAGTTAGCGTGCATGGTGCTCTCGCAAGGACTTGAGGTAAATGTCACTCTAGAGGGTCCATAATTTCTCTACTAACAAGGGAAGGATACCAGGTCGAAGTGGCCATTTGTAACGAGTTATATACCACCAGACGTGTTTTTGGGCGCTGATCTCGAATCTGTTCTCCAAATCTGCGAAACAATTCTCTGTACGTAGTTATGAAGCGCGATAGTGCAGTGGCAGCGGCCCGGGCCGACGAGCAAAAGGTCGTGAGGTCGACTTCTTAGCCAGTTTTCAGCTGCTTTTCTTGAAACCATTGTTCAAACAACTCTTATGCACGCCAAATTAAACGACTGCCTATCATATAAGAGGAAGGAGCTGGCAAAGAGCTTCGAACACCATGCGCATCATTTGCCGTGTCCTGTCGGTCGTGTGTGCCCACATTTACGACTATAGGTTAAAACTTTGGATTTGGATCAAAAGTTGTCACATGGGGTACTTTGATGCGCTGAACACGAAAATCACATCTATTTGGCAAGAAAATGCATGACGCATGCGCTACGGGTGCCAGAGACGGTCATTTGCTGATGACGCACACAGTGTTCGAAGCACTTCACTAGTTCTTTCCACTTGTATGATTGGCAATCGCCGATGGCTAAGTATGGATAAAAGTTCCATAAACAATGTTTCCAAGAATAGCAAAAGTGAGAACTTGAACTCGAGTCGATCCACGACCTCTTGTTCGTCAGCCCAGGCCGCTATCGCTGCACTATCTGTCTTCATAACTACGTTCAGAAAATCGTTTCGCAGATTTGGAGAGCAGATTCGAGATCAGCGCCCAAAAACACGTCTGGTGGTATATAACTCGTTACAAATGGTCACTTCGACAAGGTATCCTTCTTTTGTAAGGCGCATGATGGAGGGCTTTCTCGGCATTCAGTCTTGTCTGTAATGATGCAAGTTCTTCGAGAGGAGTAAATTGATCAGTGTTTATGCTGTTTGTGTCCCAATTGTGTGTGATCGTGAGGTGGTTTTGATAGAAGTTGACAGGCCTGATGGGTGTTAGGGCTTCGGGACTGTTCCCTGGTATGTGAGAGGTTTGCTATTTAAGTATCCGTCAATTTCTGTCAGAATAGTACACATACTGTTTATAGAGACAGATCTTTTCCCGAGTGTTTTGAGCAGTGATCTTTTGATGGCGTTCATAAGCCCATGGAGCGTATGGTGTTATTCTTTGCCAATGTATGTGAGAGTTCGCGAGGAAAGATTGGATTTCGTCTTCAATGCTCGAGTTGTGCCTTCCATCTTCTATCATCTGTTCGGCTAAGGTGAAGGTAGGGGCGTTATCACATGTTATTGATGACGGTATACCTCATGTTACTATAAATCTTCTAATTGCGTTGAGGACATAGTGGTGGAGGCATCGATTAACAGTTCCAGATTAATCGAGTCGTTGTACACGTGAAGCGCACGCGAGGAGTTGGGCTGTGGGCTCCCGGGTGTCGGCATCGCACGGATTCTGGGTCTTAGCCACACAGGCGGGTTCGGAGCCACACAGGCTCGCTTCGATGCCACTCAGGCGTACAAGTTTGGGGAGGAGGAAGATTGAGCTGATAGATCAGGTTTCCGAAGACTTCTGGTAGGCGCAACGTTCCGAAACGGAAAAGAAAGAATTCTGGCCTACTCTCACTCTACCTATTATACAACTCTTCATAAAGAACTCTGAGGTTCCGCGCGATCACCGTCCGATCGCGATCGCATCACAGTTGACCATTCAAAGCTTCAAGGCCAATGTCTGCCTTTTTCTTCATCGAAGCCGACGCACTGAAACTCCAACCCTCTGTGTCGACAGCTCTAAATCGGGGAGCTCAAATTTACAAGCTTTTTTGAAATCACAGTGTACAACAACTTCGCGGATGGCATTCCTGAATAAGTATTGTAAGCTGATATCCGTACACCTTCTGGAGAGCCTGCCTCGATGGAAACTTTTTACTAAACAATTGCTCGCCTTGGCAATGAACTTATCACCACCTCCGAGGTTCCGAAATGGTCCATCCCACAGTTTTTCCATTGATTGCTATCCACTATTCGAAGTTCTCAGCCAGTATAGAGTCTATGCCGTCACCGAACGACCCCCCCCCATCTTCCAGATGATTCCTGACGAGCTTCATGATGTCGTAGAGAACCTAGTTTTGGCCGTTGTTTTCTATCGGGAAAATGACCGCCCATGCCCGAACGTAGTCCATTCGACGAGAGCGCTCTCGAGTCCTATATATTGACCACTTTAATAATTAGTCCTCCTTTAGACCCGTCCGTTTCCGTGAGAAACGCGTCTCCGTGGCAACAGAACCTGTGGGCTCTTGCTTTGTCTTCCTTGCTGCCCTGGCGTCATTTATGAGGCCCTGTTGAAGCTGCTCAGAAAGTATTCTATAGAAATCGATGACACCGTTGTTTTCAACAGTTTCGATATTGCTGTTGTCGTACAGATGAATTCCGTCCAGTCTTTGCAAAAGGAAAAAGCCGGCTTCAATATCCTCTATCCGCAGGACTTAATGACATCGCACCACTGAGACAGTCAGTATTAATCTTGCATTCTTTGGCTTTCGGTTTTCTACCTCTGCACCTCCGACGTGCTCTGCATTCACGCGTTCTTCTGAGATTCCTCCCAGTAAAACGCTTAACATATCGCACTGAATCCTAAGTGGTTCGCTAACTTCTCCAAATCTGCCACTAGCGCTGAGTTTTCACTATCACACGTGAAGGTCCTGCCCATTCGTTAATCAACTTGCGTAATTGGGTGCGTTTGAATTGTATGATCAAAGCTATCTAACGCAATGTTCATGAACAACATTTAGCTTACCTCAGCCTGTGGGACCGCATACACCCCCTTGCCCCCACTCCTCCTTCGGAAGGGCGACTCAACCTCCGATTAGCAGGAAGATGGCCAACGTGCTCGCCAGTAGGGGCAGTATCCAATCCCCCCCAATAGTTCTGGGCAAAAATCCTTTCAAATTTCCTCTCCTGTCCTGTCCCAAATGGGATTGTCCCGAGAGCCTGCAATTAATCCGTATGTATGTCAACACAAAACACAACGAGAAACCGGATCCATTGAGACCTGAACTGAACAGCGCAGAGATAGTGAGAAGAAGAAAAGATAGTAGATAGATTAAGGAGTTGAGAAAACGGCACTTGTCGACAGGTCCCACACACTACACTACAAAACGCTGTACTGCCAAGCCCCACGGTTGACACCAGAAGTGCTGAGACCACACTAGTTACAGTGAGTGAGGTGATCGCCGTGGTGCTGAGGTGCTTGCCGCAAGGCCCAAATTTCAGCGACCACAAAAACACGAAGTATGGGATATGGGACGCGTCTGATGGGTAACCAAAAAACACGAGTCGTAACAAAGGGAGTGATGATGACCAGGTCGGGTGCCGGGTTCTGGCTCCGGCCCCAGCGGAGGGACAGAAAGGCGACATTTTCAAAGCGCGAAACATTGTTCGCTGTGGGAACCTCTCGGCGACACTGATGATTTGCTGCTGGAGAACTTCGCGTCTCCTCAGATGATCAGCGGTTTCGCTCAGGGATTCCCGCAGCGGAAAATGTTTCGCCCTGCAAAACGCGAAAAAGTCGCTTTCTGTCCCACACTAACCATTCCACCACTAAGTTGGACCGCTGCTGTATATTTGTTCAGGAACTCATCGAAAATCGAACGAAACAAAATCAAAATCGAAACAAACAAAATATCGAAACACTCATGTACAGCCCATAAATTGATAGCACTTTTGAGGGCGATGGACTGTTTGTTTGCGATGACCGCAAGGGTTTGCCGCCAAAAAAGAATGGTCTCTAATCCCGTATAGTGAGTGAATTTTCTGGGGAATCGGCCGCCTATACCACGGCTTGACCGCGTAACTTGTCCAGCGTGCTAAAATTACTCGCGTGAAATGCTGACTTCCCTGGCGTCACACTTCGCGACAGCCGCGTACATCTATGTGCTACTCATAGGATAGTCTTTTGTATCTGAATGGAATCTAGGGGACATAACCTCTGCTGGGGTGTTGCTCATGAAAAGTTCTTATGTCGCGTTTTACGTTTTTGCTTGGTTCCTTTCCAAGAACCAGGGTTTTTTTGCAATTTGAATTTCATTTTCTGAGCTTTGGACCCTTTTCCTAATGCGCTGCGAAAACTGGGCGTTCAATTGTCAACAACTCACAAAGGAACTCGAGGAATCCAGTAGCAAAATATTTAACTTGCGAAAAACCTTAGAAGACGATAATGAAATCAGTTAACCAAATTATACAATGCAATACAATTATACTATATAAACTTATTGATTTCCTGCTCAGAGCGCTACTATTCCAGCAGTGGGACTTGAAAGAAGTCCATTTTTAGGGAACATCGTTACGTTTTTCGCTGGAGAAATGTGAGAAGTGCAATGTGGAATTAGCACACTATGCTGCCTACATTCACAACCGACTTGACAACACATTGAGAGATTTCGTTGCAAAACACCTTACAGCCCCTTTCAAGTAAGGTTTCAATGGATTCGTTCGTATACTTTGGTGGTCAAGAAAAAACAGTTCTGGCGCATCATTTTTACAATTAACAAACTTGCTTCAAATATTTATGTGTTATGTGTCTGTTAGTCTTCTAGAATCTTTAGCATGAATATTTAAGTAATGCACGAACTGCAAAATCGACTTCGACCGCCACTGTCTTTCGTGAACTCAAGTATAAGATCACAATGGGTGAAACTCGGGTTCGAGGGGGGGCACGCGATGGCGCTGTTTTCGTCTGCTCTACCTTAACTTAGTCACCGATGGCGCGCATTTTGAAACAGCCACATAATGGCGGAGGAGTAACTGTCCCTGTGGACTAAGCCTTGGAGGAGCGCCATCGCGTGCCCCTCCCCCCCCCTCGAACCTGAGTTTCACCCGCGACTGTTTATCATATTTGTGTTCTAGATGTAATGACCCGGTTTGTCAGTTCACCACAAGAACGCATCTGCTCAAATATCGGCGCACGCCCAATGTGCTCCGAAGGAGTACTTCGAAAAGAGGTAGGTTTTGGTTGATGTGATTGTTGATTCATGGATCAATTAGGCTTCGGTTTCCTTTTCACGCGTCAAGCAAGCAGAGCATAAGTATTTGCAAAAAAAACCTTGTTTCTGAATAGTTATGATTTCTTTTGAGAGAGACTGATGTCGCAAACACTGCTGCAACAATCCAGCAGGCGCCCTCTGAATTCTTCCACATCCTATGTGATCCCGACCCATGAGAGCTAGCCCAGAATCTATCGAAGATTCCAGTGTTTCATTTTCCTGTCCGAGATTGCCGTGAATATTAAAGGGTGAATAAACTTTCAAACCAAAGAATTTTTGAACACAGGGTGATATTGGGAATATTCTAGTATTCTGCGGAAGATCTGTTTCATCAGCAGATGCTTTTCAAGCGGGTGGTTGATGTGAAAACAGCGTTATCAGAATTGACGATGGATGAACACAGTAAGTCATGACCAGAGTTGTGTTAAGTTTTCTTGGATGTTTCGGTAGGATTTTTGTTAGGATTCGTTAAGTCGTTTCGATAATAGTAGCACATGATCCCTAATTTCGCCGCCTTCTTTGACAAAAAAAATATTTTTAGGATTTCTCCAGGCTAACTCAAACATTCCATCTGTGATACCTCATTACTATGAAATTTCTCATCTAGTCCGTTAATACCTAGAAAGGATGCGTATAGCTGGGTAGATCTTAGCCATATATTTGTATCAATGTTGGACGAAGAATACAGGGTGGCCGAAAAGTATAGGACGCGGCTTTGACCGCTTGCTGGCACTAAGCCGTTGAGTATTTTTAGAAAGTTTCAGATCTATTCGAAAGCTTTGAACTATGTAAGAAGCACCATTAGTTGCTTGGTCCAAAGTTCATCTGAACTCTCGCCATAAAGATTTGTTTGCATCGACCCAATGCCAAGAGGCACCCCAATGACTGTCTTTTAAACTGCAACTTTAGGAAGCGATTCGGTATTCCCTCTTCAACAATTAAAAAAATGTTCTGTGCTTAAAAGGTTTGAGTACAAATCTGTGGGATTGCAAAAAGTGGAAATTGAAGAACTGTGTGCACTCAGAGTATTGGGGCATTCACTTAGAAGAGGTAGCTCACAACGATGAAGCCACCGTGGGTTACATCGCTTTTGATCTCAGGTCTGCCGTCACTCCTTCCAGAAGAGCTTGAGAGGCCATCATTATTTGAAGGGTTACCGACGCGTTCTATGCTGGTTTTAATTGGAGCAACCCGAATCGGTTCGACTGATAAAATGCAAAAAGTTTCTGCACGAGCTCAAGGTGCGCCGCATCCCTCTCTCGGATTGGGTTAACGAGAAAAATTTTCGGAGGAACTTCTTTTCAACCACCAAATTCAGAGGCAGTTGTTGCCATAAAGTAAGAGCGAGTCTCCGAGATAACGCCTGGTTTACAATAAACTTTCTCCTGAGGATGTGGTGGTTTGTGATGGGGTAACATCCAAAAGTGCAGCCCCATTGAAGTTCATCTTCTACAAATGTTGGAATTAAGTCGCAGGGCTTGCAAAAGACCTTAATGAGGTACGGTATTTTGTCCTGGATTCACGGGCATTTTGGCGCACTGCTGATTTTGTCGTTGGACGCCAGAAGGCCTATCCCAAAGCAGAGTCGTCAAATAAAGCTCCTTCTGCACAAGTGATGAAGTAGCTTAGCATTATCTTTGTGTGAAGTCGGTATCCTGATCGGGTCTCTTTCTTGGTTTTTACACACCAAGACATAGCGTCCTACACTTTTCGGCCACCCTGTAATTTTTCTTTGGCTAGTTAGTGTATTTTTGTGAATTGTTATGCTTATTGTTGTTTTTGTTATTAACTGAATAAATAAAAATTCACTCGACGTTTTTGGTTAAATTTTAAATATAACGGTTTATTGGTCCCGTTTCCTACTTTTATGACACATTGGAAATGTAGACGAATAAGTTTGCCGCCTTCCCCAAAGCTCCTGTCTCCTCCAAGGCTCTGTCCTAACCCGGGAGGGGAGGACCCCATCGACCCCCTTGTGATAGCGTCCTTTCTGCATGGGTCCTGCATGATGCATGACGCGTCCCAACACTCACAAATGTCCCGCCGATCAATGCTGCAAGGTGTACTCCAGTGCCGCCGCCGCCACTTCTGCTTCAAGCCGATGTCACACTTTGCTAAGTGACATAAATCGACCTGATGTGGTGGTGATGGTTTCTCATAGCTCTTCAAAGCTCTGACTGCGGCATACTCGATGAGCAAGTTGGCATGACTGAGTTGGCTTCTTCTCTAGCTTTAAATAGACCTGAAAGTAGCGAAAATAGTTTAAAATATCGCTATGCACTTGGCCTGGATTCGCAATAAATCTGCTTATATGCAGTAGTTCGAAAAGTTATTGTAACGAAAGCGAGAGCTTTGGGTACGATACTAGTGGTAGTCAGATATCGGACGTTGCCACCCCTTAGCCAAAAGTACTGATTGAGGCACTCGTGCGTAAGACCATACACGAGGTTCTGCTCAAGCTGGGCGTGTACGGTTTGTAGAGCCAAGGTGTAAGGAAGTAGCTGGAAAGTCCAAAAAATTTGATAGGGGCGTGCCGCGACAAATCACCAATCTGAATGGCCGTCCATCAAATTGTAGCTTGTTTTATGTGATAATAGCGACTCGTTTTCCTAATTTGCAACGTACAATAAAGAACAGATTCTTCTCCACAGTCCACAAAGCTTTGCTGGATAGCTTGACAGCTACAGAGCTCTACAAACTGTTAGAAAATTAAAATGTGCTGATGGAGGGTTATGGCAACTTTCATAGGGTCGACGGCTAGCCTGGTTCTTCCGCATAACTAGAAACTGTTACGGTGGGAAAGCAGCCTTAACATTACGCCAAAATTCACCAAAAACTCCATAATATTTGCCCAGCATTCCTCATTATAAAGGGGTGGACACATCTCTGAAAGGTTTCCTGGACGTACATCGCATCGCACTACTTCACAAGTTGGACCCGCTGGATTTCAGAGTGATTCTGCGAACACCTTACTTAGTAGACCCTTGGTCTATCTACTCCTCACATTTCTGGCGATCTCGATAGCTTCCATGATGAGAAATACATCAAAACCCAACATGACGCCAAATCGACCTTCCCCCAGATCATCGCCTCAACAGCTTCAGCATTCTAGACAAGCATCCCAGTAGAATGGTTCCTTGTGAAGAAAGGTTCGCGCATTCGATTGGATTTAGGTCAGCTTGAAACGTTCACTTTATGCCGAGATACATGCATTCAAAATTCGGGGTCGGAAATCGACAGAACTTTCTGAAACGCCTAAAACTTTGCGTATTCTTGGTTGATTTCTCCTTTTTTCGGCTAAAGCGTGTCATTGAGCACCCTCACATCCCCTCTGAAACCCTCCACTGTATATCGAAGTCGCTGCCTTTAGGAGCTACAGTAATGAATCTTCGAATTGAATTTGGGCATTACTTTGATCGATCATTGTCGACAGGTGGTATGAGGATGGCGACTGCGAGCAAATGTTAACGCAGACACCATCAGCAGAGCCGCAAAGGGCGTGGTAACTATGACGTCATTGCAGAGTGCTGCTCAGAACCATCATAATTTTGGTCCGACGTGAATACATACTTCGATACATGGATCAAAGAATCAATCTTCCATTTATCTGTCGTTCTTATTGATAGGCAAGACTTTTTGAAAACACAATTTGTGGTAGCTGCCTGGTGACGGACACTTGAGTTTGTTGACACCAAATCTAAGATTGATTACTTTCAAGTGTGGCAAATTTCGTGTAGACAACATCATCAATTTTCCCTTCATGCACAACCCATCGATCGAGCGGCCTACTCCGAAAAGTCTGGAAAATGGTGATGTCATATCTGTGTACAACTGACTACTCATGGAATCCGCAGTCACACCATATTGAAACAAACAATTGTGTGTAGAGAAGCACATAAACAACAAAAACATTTATTCTAATAAATCTTTACCAAATATCACTTCCTGCAGACCACATATGAGTTTTCAACAATGAAGAGTTCTCTTGTACAATCGTATCTGCGCATGCGCTCAAACCAATTCATCTGGAATAAAGTAACAATTTTAGTATTTAGCATCTCTTTTCTTTCACGCTTGAAGGCCAAGTGCAAATCGTTCATCAGTGAAGGTGCAAGAAGATCGACAGTTAAAAGTATCTCAAGTATATTGATGATTAGCCCCGGACGCCCCTCTCAAAGCAACCACCCTGAATTAGGTCGCGTCGGAGAGCCTATTCTGTAGGTGGGATAGAGTAGCCCACGTGTATCATAGATGTACCCTTGTCGCGGCTCGAAGGTGCGCGAAAAAGCCTTAAGAGCCTCAAAAAGTGATTTGAGGGGGATAATGGGAGCTTTGGTGGAAGTAGTGTCGTGGCTAGTGTTGACCAAGCGCCCAGTCCTGAGATCGAATCCAGGTTGTGCGTCGTAGAGGGAACCGAGATTTCCATCCCTCCAGGGTTGGTCAGTTGGCACCATGCTTATCTGGGAGGGAGGATAAAAGCACTGACTTGTACATCGGTTAGCCCCCGCAAGTCATTGTATAGGCCAAATCGCAGTCAAGTGCCACTACGGATGTATAAATTGAAGCAGAATGCGTGTCACATCCCAAACAGTGATCGATCGACTTCAAACGCTTGAGCCTTTTATCCTTCGAACTTATGATTAGGGACGAAATACTTCTTGCGCAGCCTATGACACGCTGATTACGGCGTAGCCGCTTATACGATCGCGCGAGTTAACCCTTTGACGACAATGGCACCCACAGGTGGGTGCCACTATGCGGGTCGTGTGGGACAATGGCAACCAATGGTGGGTGCCACCTTGAAATTTCCTTCTTTGCGCATGGTGTCATAAGTGGGAGAGAGCATAGGGAAATGTGTTAAAGCTAGACCCCAGGCGAATCCATGTGAGCGATCCTCTTCATCTTGTGAGGTTGGAGGTTGCCCTAGAGGACAATCACGAAAGTGACAGTCCCGTACAAGGAAAGCGCTCGCAAAAGGTGCTACTGGGTCTTCTAAGCCAAGCTGCACGAGCTGCACGGCCGACTTGTCCGCAGCTCATGTGGTGAAGGAAGGCGCGGCGGTTGGGGAACCAATCTGGTGAACGAAAGGAGATGGTAATGAATTCGAAAATTTTATGCGGTTCAGAGAAGCTTTCCTAAATTAAAACAAGTGTGATCTTTTGGTGGACACTGTTGTTTGCGTTTTCGTTGATTGTCAAATAAACCAAAGAAACAGCGATTCAAGCGACTACCCATATGGGCTACCATCCTCCCTCGAGCACACTTCCTTGGTAGGCCATATGGGCTGCCGCCAGCGTGAAGGTGTTAATGGCGGAGATACCGATGAAAAGGCATCCCTTAGAAGACAAGGTAGAGGTGGTCAGTCGGGTCTGGATAAAGAAAAAAAACATGGCAAATGACCTAGAAACCAAGGGGATTAGTGCGTGGTGATTTCGAATGGTCGACTTACCCTTTGGACCGCCGATGGACATTGACAGCGTCCTTAAACCTGGTTCAGCCCAGCCCGGAAAAACGAACACACTGACACTTCTAATGCTGCATCTAACAAGGGTATTGAATTCCCACGAAATTTTGAATGGAGATACAAAGATGAATACGAAATCTTGATCTGGTATCCTTCAAAACGAGTTGTTAGTGATCAAGCTTGGCAAGAAAGCAGCGTCCATGAGAACCCCTATCCGGTCGGGTTCACAGTGGGGCATAGTAGCTATTAGAATTTGCACATACACACACTTGATATCGAACAAAGACTGCCATTTGAATTCTTGCTATTCTCCCTAATTAATCCTAACAAGAGATTTTTGACATCTTATCTGGTTGGAAATCAAGTTCATCGCTTACTACGGATTTGATACCGCTTAGTTTTATCAAAGCGGTACTTCCTTCCATCGTGGGTTCATTGAAATTATTTTCAACTTGAGTTAGAGCTGAAGTTCCCCAAAGATGGAAAATCTTTGAAAAGTAATGAAGAGGGTTATCGTCGGCTATTCAGCGAAACACAGAATACTACCCGATTGCCAACATGGCTTTAGAAGCGCTTGAGGCCCTTAATAATTGGACTGTGTCGTTAGATTAGAATAAAGATATGGACGTAATTTACTTAAGCCAAAGCTTTTGACGGAGTGAATCACACCAAACTCTTGGTTAAGCTAGACCACGTCTGCACATCCGAGGATTGACTCATGAATCCAATCCTCTCTGCAGTTCCGTTCATTTCAAATTCGAGTCAACAAAAGTTTTTCTAGGCTCAGGTCAGCTCCAGGCGGGGTTCCTCAAGGGTGCGCTTTATCACCAGAGTTGTTTGTCATACTCACCTATGACCTCCCACATTTAGTCGAGGAAATAGGAGTAAGATGTAAAACGTTTGCTGACGACGTAAAAATTTACAGGTCACTGGGAGCAGAAACGGATTCTCTGTTGATTCAAAAAGCTATTGATGCGGTTGCCGCTTGGTCCGAAATGTGGGAGTTACCATTAGCGCCTGAGAAAACATCTGTCTTGCATATAGGCGAAGGTCGGCCCAACCACAATCACTACATGGGCGGTGTTGAGCTTTACAGAGTTGACTAAGTTAGAGATATAGGTTTTATAGTTGATGGGAGACTCCGCTTCGACCCCATTGTAGGAGTGTAGCCAACAAAACAGAATCCAGGCTCTTTCTACTGCTTAGGGGTTTCTATACGAAAGACCCGTGCCTACTTATTAGGGCTTACAAATCTATGGCACAACTATCCACAGACCAGAAAGGTAATCTCGCGATTGGATGCACTTCAAAATAGTTTTACTAGAAAGGCATTTCTAAGGGCCTTGGGTTTCAACTATAACGCTTACCCAGGGGTGTCGTAAAGTACAAAATGCCTGGCCTTGAATCTTATCAGGGCAGGAGCAGGAAATTAGATCTTTCAACAGCGTTCAAAATTATCACTGGGAAGGTGTCCAACGACACTCAAGCTCTCTTCACCCTTCTGCGGACCACTACGAGAAGGGAAAAATTTAAACTTACTCTCCCTAGAGCCAGGTCATCTGTTCAAACAAAATTTTTCACTGTACGGGCTTTCTCGGAATAGCCCAGCTCAAGAAAAATATGCACAAGTACTACACTTAGGGCTATGTTATTTTTTTTTACATTTTTATTGACCATATCTTTGTGGGGCATTGGTCATCTACTCTATTTGCTCTTTTTTCTGTCGCTTTTTTATGATGATTTTGTGACACAGTTGTGTTTTGTTGTGTTATCTAATGTTTTATGGTTTGTTTAACCCATTCCATGTGCTCATGCGCATGCAATAAATCTAAAGTTTAATTGTGGCTTACAGCTGTCAATTACGCTTTTCCCGCTCACTGATACAAATGCAGCAAGTGAATTCTATCGCGTGCTGATCACGAGCAGCTCTATAGAACGGCGCAACAGGAATGATCACGCGTCAAACAATAAACAAAATGTAACTCACATGATAGCAGAGGTTTTTTGACTCCGATCCCATAATATATGCCGCTGTCGCTGGAGATCCATCAAGCCATTGAAAGCGGAGTTGCAACCCAATATTCAAATCATTAAACACATGATCACTTCCATTCTTCAGCGATAGCAGGTCTGCAGACACAAAGAATCAGTGAGCGCATCGTCCGTTCAATTGGTCTAATTCAACTGTTATCATACTATCATGAGCCAAAACCGAATTAATGTTCCTGCTATGTACAGTGCATTTCTAAAGCGTAAGTGCGCTTTTGAAAATTGTTGTTTTGGGAGGTTAGCATGAAGGGTCCATGGCTCTACCTAGGTTATTGAATTCAGCATGCCTAAGACCTCCCAATTCATTCCAAAAAGCATTACGGACTAAAAAATTCATAGAAAAGTTTGAAAGTGCCCCCTGTTTGATAAGTATAAGGGCACCCAATTAAGAAGGTTTCACTAGTATAAATCCTTGGTCCTGTCACATCACCTAAGATTCTGTGGGCATGCGTAGTGAAAGCGCACTAACTCCTCAATTTGCTTGAACGAACTGAGCTTTCTATGAAGACATCATCCAGGTGATACAGCGACGTCACGCTAGCACCCTGGAGTCTTCTATTGCCTTCTGCCTTGCCTACAACTCAAATCTGCCTCTTATTATTCAAATATTTTCTAACGGAATTAGACCCGAACCGCGCTACGGCCAATCCATAATATTGACTTTGTTGACAATAAACACTGCCTAATGAATCAGCTGCGGTGGATGGCGGCGTTGCAGCGAATGAAGATGAATTTCCACAGGCGACCTTCACTTAGGAACGACAGTGAAAGATCAGCGAAAGCATTCTCATAGTCGTTGGAGTTCTTTCCACACCAAGCAAAAGCCAGACGGAGGAGGCATTGGTGCACAAGTCACACCATGTGAGTTACCGCCACCGATACCGAACTTCCTTCGGCTGAACACTAGTGGGTACTTTCTGAGATTCCTGTACCAGCTGTGACACCCACTATATCTGGCAATCCCTATTCGAAATTATTCCTACCGAAAAGGAATCCCAAGCCCGAGGGAGTCTAAGCCAGTCACTTCAGAGCAGGATTCCACGATAAGAACGAAGGTAGAAGAAGGAGAAACTTACCTAGTGAAAGGAAAGGCGGACCCTTGAGGGTGCGGACCAGCACGCAATTCACGTTGAACGATATGCCCCGGCAATCTAGCTGGGCCTTCCCTTTGACGCAATTGATCCGGAACGCCCACCGTCGAATCTCTCGCCGTAGATCATCTATACGCGGCGACTGATCAGATAGCAAAGAGCGATAGAGCTGAAGAGTGGGCACTGGCGAGAGTCGCATCAGTGCGGAAATCAACGGGCAAGGTGCTCTGTGCTTCTGGACCATCTCTCATGTTTCTTCATCCCTGTCGCAATGAGCACCTCTCAAGCTCCCTTTTCGTCGTATAGTCCGTGCCTTCCTACCTAGACCACCTTTTAAATACCAGTTCATTTCACTTTCTTCGAGTTAATGGGGTTAACTGTTACGCGATGCCTACCTAGTTGAGTAGGCTTCATCGCGGACTCTCGCACAATAGCATTGGAGTTGAGTTAACAGTTTTCTAGATGGTAATTTTAATTTTGGGAAAACGAAAGATCATGGAAAATCTCGTTGACTATTCGAATAGCACTTGTGGTCTCGAATGATTTCTATAAAAAGCTGAATCCACTAGAAATTGTGGATGCAGCCAGAATACTGGTCAGGTCAAGCAGCTATGAAGAAGTGACCTTTGCTCGAAATTGTTCCTAGGTACAAAGCTAAAATTTTCGGGACCACTGGAGAAGTAATGTGCGCTCTTCAAGCATGCCCACAAAATCTTGTATGAAGTAATAGGGAGAAGAGTTTTGGTCTTAAGAGCCTCTCGCTCAGGACGCCTAAATGCTTTTGGAACAGGGGGCCTTTCAAACGTTCTTATAAATGTTTTAGACCAAAGTACTGTGCGCAGCGGTGTGTATGTGGTGCGCAAGGTGGGTGTGTGGTGTGTGGTGTATGTGTGGCGGTAGTGTGGTGTGTGTGTGGTGTGTGTGGTTTGTGTTTGAGTGTATGTTGAGTGTTGTGTGAGTGTGTGACGCGTTATGTGTTGGTGTGTGTATGTAGTGTGTATGGTTTGTGGGCGTGTGTGTATGTGATGTGCGTGGTGTGAGTGGTGTGTGTAGTGTGCGTGTGTGTGTATGTGTGGTGCGTGGTGTGTTTATGTGGTGTGAATGGTGTGTGTGTGTGTATGCATGATCTTGTATGGTGGTGTATGTGGTTTATGGTTTCTATGCCACGAATTTATTTCACTGAGAATCCTTTCGCACTGAAAGGTCTCTAGCCGGTCAGTGGTGAGGCTAGTGGGCGCACCCAGGGCGGATAGTGGGAAGTCGCAGACCAAAATTCACCATGTGTAAATCGCAGACCTAAAATGTAATTGCTGAGACGCAGGTGAGTTCAGAGCATGATCATGATCGCGTGTGTGGTGCGCTTTGTGTGTGTGCGGTTATGTCCTGTGTGTCCGCACAGTTGAAAACTTGCATTCTAGTGACTGGACTGGGAAGCAACACGGGCCGCCTTGAAGACAAGACCCTTTGTTGCGTTCTGCTGCGTAACTACCTGAAGGTCTATCCCAGCCCCCAGGACAGAGCCTGGCAAGCTACTCACCGGTCGCCGAAATGCCGAAAACAGCAACAATGGGCCTCAGTTCCTGAACCTGAGGTAGCCCGCAATACGTTAGCGTTGAGTAGGACCGCTCGGGAAAGGCTGCTAGGATCATTCCTCATCGTACCTTGGTCGTGAGCGGCTGCGTGTACTTCCTCAGGTGTACAATTCTACTTTCTATATTCTCGTATTCTCTGATTTCTGGAGCACCGATTCTATTCAATCACACTATTATGGCTCGTGGTGCAAGAAGGAACCAATCAGCCAAAAAAGGTGAGTAGGAAATGCCTTTATGGGCTACGAGAATGATGGAGAGGTACGATGCTTGCGCTGAACGATTGGAAAAAGCGCTTTTGACATCGTTTGACAAGATGGTTAGTAATATTGAAGAACGTGCGGCAGGGTGAGATACCGGCCCGTATTTCAGCTCTCAACAGCGTTTTGAACACAGTTAAGCGAGACGTAAATCAAAATGCGCTATATTCAACAAAAGTTGAAGTCAAGGCGGACGAGAGGAAGATCGATGACAAGCTGAGGAGGATAGCATGGGTAGGACTTGGCGAGCAGAAGGATGATATCGCCACTAAGAAGTTTGACAAGGAGGCCCTTAAAGAGGTGATCGGGACCTTTGACGATGCTGAGCTAATGGAGGAGTTTTCAAAGGGAAATATTTCGGTTCTTCGTCATCCGGCAGGTCAACCTAGAGGGATCAATAGCCGTGGAAGGATTATTAAAATCAGTTTGCCCTCGCAGGAACTTATGGATAGGCTTTTACAGTCGGCAGAGCTTGACGAAACAGTTCGTTCATTCCTATGCGCGGCGCGACTATACTGCTGAGGAACTGGAATTGGATCGCTCCTTGAGAAAACAAGCTGGTCAATGGAACACTGATGTGGGCAAACTGTTATACGTAGTACGAGATCTCCAAATACATAAGCTTCGGAGTCCTAGAGAACTTCCGCATCACACTTCTGTTGAGCCTCATGCACCAGTGAGCCGTCCTTTCTCGCTTTCTTCGCAGGACATGGATGCGTCTCGGGCCACAGTTCCGTCGGCTAGTACAGCTTGTTTTTAACAGATTTGTCCTCCTTAACGCCGGATCCGTAAACAATAAGCTATCTGAACTCCATCATTTACTCACATGCAGTCCCTATGGTTTGTTTATTACAGACTTAGTGCAAACCCCATAAGATTAATACAAATACACACATTAATACAAATACATACAAATCACATTGTCCAATACTACAGCTTGCATCGCGCTGTGCTACCGTAGTCTATCTTGCCCAGTTACCTCCTTTGGAGAATTTCTCCTTTATCTTGAAGAACTCAGTGAAAATCGCTTGCCACTCATAATTCTTGGTGATTTCAACTTTTATGAGCTCACATGGTCCCATCAATCTCAGACTACAGGAACGGGTTCGAGTTTGAGAAATCAGAGTTCTTTGTTTGCTGATTTTGCTCGCGCTAATGGTTTCGTACAGCTAGTGTTACAACCTACGCACGGTTGCATTATTCTAGATATAATTCTGTCTAACAGCCCCACACTCGTGAGAGATGTCTCAATTGAAGCACCTTTTTCAACTTCCGATCATGCCACTGCTGCCTTTTCACTGTCCTTTAGTAGACCAAAACAGTCTCAGAAGATTTTATAGATTTTGCGAAGTAGAATCACAATATTATCTGCGACCATCTTCTCCGTGTAAATTGGTGCCAGATTTTTGATGCTTGTGTGACTATAGATGATTGTTACATAGCCCTTATGAGTTGTTGCCATTTTCTTATCTCTCGATTTGTGCCTTACGACTATATCAGCGATAAAACAGCGACATGTTCCACGACACTTATTGAGGTTACAAGCCCAAGTAGAAAAGCTATTCAGAACAAAGGATTACTTGCATAATCAAAAACATTTTAGAGTATCGAGGCTATTAAAAAAGAAACTAGCAAGGATGAGTCTTCAGCGCGAAGAAAAAATGCTCGTTCAAAAATATGTTAGAAAATTTTGGGGTTTTTGTAATTCTAGGCTCAAATCTTCGGCTGCCTTTAGTACTATTTGTTCCATGTCGGGGGAGCAGTGCATTCACGACTTTGATAAAGCGGAAGCCTTCGCTGAGTATTTCGAAACATTTTACAAAAAGTGTTCGCCATTACAACATGAAAGTTTTGCTATAACCTCTAGTTGCTGTCTTTATTGGATCGATATCAACTATGAAAATGTTTTTCACACCCTAAATAGCCTTCCTTTGCGCTGCTCCACTTCTCCTGACGCTCTCCCCTACATATTTCTCAGAAAGGCAGCTTTTGGACTTCCACCCGCAGTGATTTGTTTATTTAATCGGATAATGCTCAAGGGAGAAATCCCAGCCATGTGGCATTTAGGTTTTGTTCGACTCATATATAAAAAAGGTGATAAAAGTTATGTGAACAATTACAGACCTGTATGCCTCACGGCACCACTCAGCAAATTTATGAAGCGAATCATTTGCTGCAAGCTCAGAGAGTTTCTCATTTCTAATAATATGATAAGCCCGTGTCAATACGGTTTCCTTCCGAAAAAACCTACTTTCTCTGCGCTCCTTTCATCTATTCCTATATGGCATACTGCTACTGATAAGAGGAAGACACTTTTTATAGCATACATATATAGACTTCTCTAATGCTTTGGATTCCATACCGCTCTCCCATTTATTCGAAAAACTAAGACAGTTGGGTGTTTCTGGCTGTCTTCATAACTTTTTGAAGTCATTTCTCTCCAACAGAAAACAAACCGTTGTACTCAATGGTGTGCGTTCCCAAATTTATGAAACAGAAAGTGGTGTTCCACAAGGCACTTGTCTTGGTCCTCTAATGTTCACTCTGTACAGGGGGGGGGGGCAAAAAAAAAGACATTTTGCCTATGTCGGACTTCGGCTCATTTTTCTTCGCAGAGATTGCTGTCGTTGACGGGAGTTCCTCAGCAGAGTATTCCCTATGTGCTCCTATTAGTGTACGCAGGCTATCCTTCACTGCCCTCACCGTCTTCAGAATATGACGTCATCTGTCACCGTCGTCAGGCTCAAGGAGGTCTAGAGAGAGCTTCAGCCTGAAGCTCTTGCGCAATTTCGTGAATCGATTTGATGTTGGATAGTTTTCTAGAGGCATTAGCTACCACTGTGCAAATCCCCTCGGAACTAGCTTTCCAGTAAGGGTCGGTATGGTACACGATCCTTCGAAGACCCCATTGAGATCGACCAGTGCACCATGTTTCCAGGGCTAATTCTTCTGATGCCGTCCACGTACGTGGCCACTATAAAGATTTTCTTATAGAATGGAATGCACTCTTTAATAATAAGTTGGAACCGTTCGGTCTGAGTTGAGTAAAATGTGCTTAAATCCATCTGGAAGTGGAGGCAAAATGTCTTTTTTTTTTTGCCCCCCCCCTGCATATTAATGACTTGCCACAGTACCTCCCACCGAAGGTGTACTGTTTGATATACGCTGATGATGTCAAAATATTTTGCTTAGATCAACCCCACTTATTACAACAAGCGCTAGATTCCATTTCCAAATGGTCAGAAGATTGGAAGCTCGACATTTCTCTTTAAAGACAACAATGCTACGGCTAGGTTCCTACGCCTCAATGAATGTCACCTTTTCGATATGTGATACAGAACCTAAAGAATCAGAAATAGCGCGTGATTTGGGAGTACTTTATTCACGATCTCTTTCCTTCGAAGATTACATTGACAAAATCGTACATTTAGCTAGTTGCAAGGCCATCTTTATTCTGCGAGCATTTTTAACCAGGACGGTTGAAAGTTTGTTATTATTAATCACTACTTATGTTCGCCTACTACGTCCAATGGTTTGGAGTCCATCAAACAAACACTTGGTTGAGTATTGAGAGGGTTCAGGCCAAATTCACTGAAAAAAATTTTACACGCAAAGGAGTGCTCCACTCTCATTTAGAAAGATTATCTCTGCTGAATTCTAATACTTTGGAAATGAGGAGAAGATGCTCGACTACGAATTTGTGTATAAACTCTCGCACAATTTAGTAGAGGTTGATTTTGACATGCTTTTTCATAAATTCCTCACTATTGGACGTTCACATGGTCACGACTTTAGAATATTGAGAGAAAAAACTAGATCAACAGAATCTCGTGATTCCTCCACCCAGAAAATCATTACGGTCTGAAACAACTTACCATCATCGGTGGTTAGTTCTAGTTCTGTCAGTCCTTTTCGAAACAAGCTGAAGAAAATTTTAATTGCTCAGGAGTGGTACTGAGAACTAAATATGTCGTTTCCGGGATAGACAGTTTCCATTTCAATTAAGAATAAGAACAATGCTAAGGTATGATCTTTGTAAAGGTTCAGGAGCGATTTTTATTAAGTTGCTGAGTATTTGTTATGACATAGTTTAGCTTTTTCATCATTGTTTGTTCTGATCATGGCACCTTCCTTGGTTTTGTTACTCTATGTTTCTCAGTGAATTCGCCTTTCAGGTGACCTCTTACTCCCTCTCCTAAAAGGCGGGCCTCGGTGGCGTTGACAGACCTACTAAGATGGTATCCGGAGCCGCTCAATGTCTGGTGCGACTTGCAGTGTTGGCGGGCCACTGCTCTTCACCACCGAGTGTCCTACCCTCGACGCCTTCGTGCCTTCCCAGTACCCTTTATGACTATTGCCTCCTGTAATTGGTATCTCTCTAGTATTTTGATTTCTTACACGCATATCGGGAATTGTATATAACATAATGTTCTGTGTTCTGTTGTGCTTATTACCGATAATAAATAACTAATAATAAATCTTAGAGCGCCGTATATTCTGTCTGAACGAAGAACAACCAAGATGGCGATTTGTACTTTCAATGCACAAACGCTTGCTTTCGAAGCACACATAAAGAATTGATGATGCAAGCCAGTAAGATCGAGTTCGACGACATCGACTGACCCTACGAGCAGCCATCGCCCGCTACACGCCTTTCTCGAGCGGTTTTTGATACTGGAGAGGAACTCCTTCTTGGAACATGCGACAGCAGAGGTGTTGGCGGTGTGGGTGTCCTCGTCAACACGCACGTGGGCAATAAACATCGATTCGTACGAAAGCACAACTACCCGAATCGGACGTTTGAGATTGAAAAGAGGTGGTTCCACTTCTGCTTTGACAGCCTTCATCGCCTACGCACCAACATTCAGCTACGACGAAGAAGAACACGAAGCATTTTATGTGGAATTGGAGCTCTACAGGGAAGATCATACCTTCTTTGAGATCATAGCCGGCGACCTCAACGCTAAGATTGGCTTAAAGGAAGCGATTACGCAAAGGAATTTTCCCATCAGGGAAGACTCTGCGTCCCACGGAGCAATTACTTGGCCGCCAAGGAAGAGATGTGTGGCCCTCCCACGGCGGAAGGTGCCGCGGTTGCTGAGCAGGACCCGTGCGACGCCCCGCCCTATGCGACGTGACGCCCACTAGTTCTGTTGATGATCTGGATGGACTGTTTGCTGTGGGCTTTTCATTTTGGATGATCATTCACCTTCTAGTGGCTGTAACTTCTAACATGCCCACGTATTGCGTTCAATCAGTACACTATGCTTGTTGGCAAGATGGCGGCTATCGGGGTTAAGACGTCTGAACAACGTCGTTCTTCACCGTCGCTCATCGGTGGTCGAAAATGAAAGGGCAATCGAAGAGGTGTTATTCTGCTTATTTTTGACGGATTTCTTTGCTTTTTTCGCCATCGGTGTATTACTGAGACCCTCACGTTCACTCCAAACCCCTGTGAAATCTATCGTAATCGCTTCCTTTAA